CTTGCCACTACACCACCTCCGCCCACAAACAAATATACAATATTATATATTTATTTCCTTTTCTATGTATAAACTTAAGTGAATTGCGATAGCTTGATTACACTGTGTACACTGTTGCCATTTAGTGCTGGAGCACTGATTCCGCTTGCACTAATCTTGCTGATTGTTGGGATTTTGCTTTTCCATTGCGGTTGGGCAGCACACCTTCTGGACGACAGCGGCCAAATACCGATCAAGTTAGTTTGCACGGTTGTTGTTTCCAAACATCATTCTTCACCTAAGTTACAATCCAAAGCTGTTTTCATTTTGGCTATTGGGAATAATTCTTCTTGTGCCCACATTGTGAAAGAATTCTTTGGTTTTCCGTAGCTGCGTTTTGCAAACCTCATAGAGCAGCTTTTTTCAGAATTAGACCTACTACTGAGTTTTCTTTTTGTTAGGAACTATTTATGATACTTTCACTGCTCTAAAGCAGCACAAAGCCTTGAAGAGGGTGTCAAAATCGGACTCCNNNGCACAGACATCGCTCAAAAAGAGTGTAATGTTCAACCACGCGCTTTCATAAAACGTCAACATCGCAGCACGAACCTCTTCATCGCACTGGTCAACTGTCTATAGAACGGCCGCTCAACTGGAAGATCCGTTTCGGTTCAGTTAGTCATGTATATCCCGAAACGAAAAATTCGTGAATTTTGCGAAAAATAAGGCTCCTTAAAAGCGGTGGAAATAGAACTTGTGCGAGATTGCCATGTATGATATGGAAGAGCTATTCGGACGAGATTCCAGTAGCTGCAACTGGGAAAAGAGCTGACTACATCAAACCCAAACTGTCCAAAATTGCCCTTCACTGTCGCTATGGGTCATGACAAAATGTCTAAACTTCGTACATGGGTTCTTTTGTGAATGGTGCAGCCTCTGCAATGCATTGAAGCTCGTCCGGATATACACACGAGATAATCCTTGAGCCTTTATAACGCCCTAACTGAGCCGTTTTCCGACCTGATAGAGCCAGATATGATATGCGAAGAAGCCTCGAATTCATCCTAAGGGGAAATCTTAGAAGCCATTTTTATCGTGAACTGTGCCTTTAAGAAGGGCGTTTCAGCTGAATCTGAACTGAGAATTCCAGAATTTGAGGGTAGGAGTAAAGTCTAGCGCGTACGCGATCGCTTGATGACTATCACCTCTACAATTACCTTATCCCTCCCCAACTTCTAAACAACTTTAGTTATAGTTTCAGTCTACTCTTCCCCCTTCTATGAATATTCCCAGTATTCTTTTAATTATGACAGCATTTCACCTTCGAATCCATCTTAGCTTCGAATTGGAGTGCTCCGCACGGTGTATCCCAAAGGCTCTCCTTTGCTTAGGAAGAAAAGAATCTGCTTGTGTCCACTCTTACCTTTTTCGTTTCTACTAGCTGTAAATAGTAATCATGCCGTTCTTCAAGGAAAACAGTCACCACGACTACAACAACCTATCATGATCCTGAGACAGATCTCACTGAACAACGACTGTTCGAGTCCGCCTACAGAGAGCCTGTACCAGAGGTGAGCGATCATGACTACTTCCACCGTCATCCAGTGATCTATTTTTCAAACTCTACAGCTTACACGCCTAACAATTACTTGTTTTGGTAAGCAAGAAATTTGTTTTTTAGGTAAGGCAAGGCTACTGGCAATTCGACGAGCGAGAGTCTTGGCAGGCTGTCGCGAATCCTTATCCAATACAGTACGTTTGATCGTTTTCAGTGCGCAACTTATTTGTGAGCCTTCAAACTCTGTCTCATTTCCAGACACACGCTCAAACATTGCTTGGAAAGACAGCCGTACTAACAAACGTCCTCTTACTCCTTCTGTGCTTTGTTGACAACGTGACAAACGACTGCTCCAGCCTCCTAGAGATTTGATCTGCCTTGTAGTAAATCCTTGTTGTATGTATTTCCTATAAAAGTGAAATTGTAGAAATTTAAGCTGCAACTTGCCGAGTGTAAATGCTTTTTAAATCGTGGACATCTTTTTTTTAAGCTCAGGAAACGAATAAATGTGCTCTTACTGCCAGATTCGTGTTGGAGAAATCCCATTCAAACGTTCTCACACTTGATCTCGGGAATGGAACTTTCATGTGCAAAAATACAATCAACATTTTCTCCGTGAACGCTCCTACATATCTCAGTCCATTGGTACTGAAGGCTTAGTTGACGACAGACGTGGTTTCTGAATTTTGTGGCCCAAAACGCCTACGCAGGGCTCCAAAACCTATTTTCAACGACGTACACACACCCAAAAGCGTACTATGCCGTCGGTACAATGAATGCGGAAGACGGAGAGAAAGCACCTTGCAAGCCTTGCAAGGCCCTTCTTTCAGTTGAGCAGGGGAATTCTACAAGAATTCGTAAACTTGCATACTGGTCGCTCCCCAAGCCACTGTACCGGCTGAATACTTCGCCGGACAACTCTTCACTTCGGATGGGGGCTGAGTGCGAAGGCCATCTGAAGGAGGAACTGCTTAAAGCTAAGAACTATGTCTTAGATAATTTTCTGACTTTTCCAACTCTTGACCATCTGAGAAGATGCCTCTAGTGAAGGAACATCTTTCTCGTCACCCCTAGGGTGTATGTGAACAGAATGGTATTTGCCTATATGGGTGTTGGATTCGAGCAACACTTACCCTCTCAGAGCTCCATAGAAATATAGAAATATACCGCTTTCGAGCTGTTGATACCAACAACGCGAGATTCCCAAAATAAGGTAGGCAAACAACCTCAGAACTCCAGTTCTATGTAACTTGCTTGATAGAAAGTTCCGACTTGACAACATGCCAACCCTTATACGGCCCCAAGATAGGAGGATGAAAAACACGCATGACAGTAATCCATGACTGCAGGTAATTTTCAAGTGATCCCAGACTTGTTTTAATGGAATTCCAGCAGTACCTGAGCAATGTTTTCTTGATTCTTGCCCGCTTTTTGCGCGCATTACAGAGTATTTGTTAACTTACTACGATTACCTTCTGAGAGTGATGACAGGAATCCTCTGGGTACTTCAGTGATGGAGTGGCTATTCGCATGACTTTGGTAGCCGTAGCTTCGATAACACTCTTTAAAAGCGAATGTCCATAACACCGTTGTGGATGCGCTACGAGTTTGATTCAGTTCTAAATTTCTGAATACATGGGAAATTCTCTATGCCAGTATCACCCTGCTCATTCCTTCTTCTTCTTACTCTACCCTCCCTTCTTCTTCTCCCTACTCCTCACAAGAAGGATGTCTCTTCCTATTAGGTATCGAAAAGAGCATTGAACACCACATCACCTGAAAATTTGATCCGATCGGAAAAGGTGAACATTTAAGACCTAACGAATAATAATTACTTTTACCATACTTTTAGGGCGGGGTTGGTGTAGCGGCAAGTGGAGCTTTTCGACACTGCTGTTCTTCCTGCTTTGACGTACGCCTCAGAGACTTGGACTCTACGAAAGCAGGATGGACATGCTGTCAGCGTTACTCAACGAGATTTCGAAAGGAAATTCGGAATTTCCCTGTACACGCAAATGCAGATGGGAATTCGGAGTTCGGGG